CAGTTTCAACACACTGTCTTGTATGATCCTTTCCATGTTCTCAAAACTGAATGATGTTTTCCTTATGGTAACCAAAGTTGATTCTTACATTTCATGAAACACAATATCCACTGTGGTGGCATTTCAAGAATTCACGACTTGGAAAACGATATTTGGGAGCTGGGGATGGGATGCGTGTGAATGAGCAGTGAGAAAGTAGAGAGAGAGGATCAGATGAATGTTCTAAAATGAAAATTATTTTTGGATGAGATAAAGGAAAAGACGATTTGGTAAATCACTGTGTAATAGTTTTGTTATTTTTTTTGAAGAGTTCAGTGTTATAATTGCAGAGGGAATCTTTTGGTTTCAACCTCTACAAGAGGTTCTGACAACTCTACATTATAGAGAATGGAAAAGAACCACTGCAGCTAAAAAAGATTAGGCAATTCATAGAAAACACTGTAGATGTGTAGCAGCAATCTGAGAGCTCTATCTGATTCCAATCATCTGAAATGATCACATGACTAATAACCTCAGTCTCTAGTAGTATAGCAAGGCTTTGCCCATAATAACTTGAAAATCAAATTTTACTACATGTCATAATTTCTGTTCATTGCTTTCTGGGGAACTAATTTGTAGAATATTAAATACCAGGAAAACCTTTAATGGAGAAATGACTTAGCAAAGCTTATCTATTTAAAAGTTGAAATGCTGTTCATATTATATGCTTAAAGGAATAATGCAATAATCACAGAAAGTCACTTTTACACTCTTATCTTCCCAGTTACTTAGAGTAACGGGGTTAAAATGACAAGATTTCAAACTACCATTTCTAATGTGGTTACTAAAATCTTATAGAAGTAATAAGCGACAATTAAAACAACAGGATGGTATTTTAGGAAACAATTCTGATAGTGTAATGATGCTTAAATTAGAATACACAAAGATAAATGATTTTTTCTTACATTTAGATTTTACCACTACTGGGCTGGGGATGTAGCTCAGTGGTTCTGCTGCCTCCCTTGCAAGCACAAGATCCCAAGTTCGATCCCCAGTGCCAAAAAAAAAAAAAAAAAAGGATATAGATTTTACCACTACTGCCTATGAGTTTGAATTTTTCTTTGATTTATAAAGATATTACATACAGGACCAGGGATTTAGCTCAGTGGTTTCGCCTCCTGCCTCGCAAGTGCAAGGACCTGAGTTCGATCCCTGGTACCAAAAAAAAGAGACAACTATATAAAGAAATTACATGATGCGTCACAGAATATGCTTTCTAGCAAAATCTGTCTAAGTCTCTATCTGTAGAACGTTTTCCTCAAAAACAAGATAATCTGGTGACAAATGTAGACAGACGAAAATGTGTATTATAGACAACATCCAAGCCAAATTTCATTCAAAATTAATATTACATTTTTTGTGTCATCAGTTAACTTATTTTCCAATATTAGCAATTACTAAGAATATATTTGAATCTCAAAGAATGACTCAAGCTCTGCACCATTATCATAAGCAATGACCAATATATTCTAGAAAGTTTGTTTTTATTTTATTGCCATGAAAATTTTCTTCATACTCTTGCCTCCTTTCTCAAAATTCTTTATGGAAAACTTCAAACCATGTCATAGATTGTGTAGGAGGATAAATTATAATTATTACACACATAATGGCGTCTCAAAACTTGCATTTATCTACAATCTGAATGATTAAAACCCAAATTAAAGATGGGGACAAATAAAAAAAGGTACTAATTGGTTATCTATTGTTTCTAACAAAAGCCTTCTGGCATAACATGAACCTATGCTGTCTTCTGGATAATCAAATAATAGCATTTTATATAGCAAGTTTCACTATTACTGTTATGTATTTAATTTTCTTCTTTTTTGGTACCAGGGATTGAACTGGGATCCTTGCGCTTGCATAGCAGGCAGCAAAACCACTGAGCTAAATCCCCAGCCCCTGTATTTAATTTTTTAACATTGTCATCATTGCATAATGCATATAAATATCAGTTCAAAATTTCCCAGCAGAACAGCTTGTTCTTTAAACATTTGAGAAAATGATGGTCTAAGAGACTACCAAATTTATTCCTCATTTAGTTGTTTACTTAATAAGCCTGATATCTAAAACTTGGGTCAACAAATAGGATAAATCTACGAATCATCGTGAGGCTTACGGAAGAGAGCAAGGGCCGCTTCCTGGCTCTGGGGCTTTGTGCAGGTTATTTAGCTCCTGTTTCTCGGGCCCTTTCTCTGTCAAATAGAGATTAATCATTGCCTGTCCATTGCAAGCGACTATTTGGGGGCCCAGGTACAAAATCCAAGTGAAATGTGAATGCACTAGTAAGGTATTATTATTATTACTATTATTATTTTGTCAGATATAATTTTTAAATTTACTAGCACACTGAAAATGAGTTAAAAACCTAGTTCAGGCTTCTTGATTTAGCATCTTATACTTAAAGCTAAGGCTTACCTCTAAATACATTGCTGGGTGGGGAGTTTTCAATGAGGAGTGCATTTAATTTTCATCTCCAATAAATTCAATATTTTATCTCTAGGAGTTATGGATCCAAATAGAGAAAATGTTATTATGTCTTTATTCGACTCTAATTAGATATTTTGTAGACTCTTGTTTTAAAAGTTTGTTTCTTTATAAATGGAAACACTGGTTTGTAATAAAGTAGAGAGTAATTAGACAGTGGTTGTTTTAGGGAAACAAAAGAATACTAACTTGGCTTTACCAGCTATTTCTCGGCCATGGTTCTTGTGTATCTGCATGCAATAAACTCTGCTACTAAAACATCTAAGGTACCATTAAAAAAGAAAACTTGGAAAAACAGTTCTTACACCTTCAATTTTTACCTTTATTTTTAATGGTGCTTTCTAAAGATTTAGGAAAGTGCAGTTATCTACAAGCCAAAAGGGACACTTAAAAATTCACTTTAGTAAACGTTGGTATCCTTTTAAAATATGTTTGATCACCACCTTATTATACTTTTAATAAATCCTTTTTCTTAGTTTTTATTAGAGAGATCGCTTCTCGGCCTTTTGGCTAAGATCTAGTGTAATTCTTATTAGAGAAAAGTTTTCTTGTTCCCTCTTTTTCAGATATTTCCAAATGGCCCAGCTGGGTTGGCGCGCATGCAGTTGACGTTGAGGCTCTGGGCAGGGGTCTTCCACCCTCCGCTTCCTCCCCATCCTCCCAGGGGCCGCGAGGCACCTGCCAAGGGAGCCCGTCGGTCTCTCCGGGGGACGCCAGGGGTCGCCCCTCTCCCAGGATCGCGCTGCGGACCCAGCCGCACGCGCAGGCCCCGGCGCGACGGCGCGAGGGGCATTGCCTCCGGCGGCTCCGGACAGCCCCACTCCGCCCGAGGCCCTGCAATTCGAACCCAGTTCCTCCCACTCCTTCTCCATCTCCGCGATGCAACCAGAAGGCGCTTTTGACTTGGCCTTGAGCGGGTGGAGCAGGTCGGGAAGCTCCCGCTCTTGGGCTCCGCAGGGCTCCCCGCTCCCCCGCGCCCCGCTCCTCGGGCCGGAAGGGGACAAACGGGCTGCGACCGAGCTTTCTGGTGTCTTCCGTCAGACACAGGGCCCCAAACCCAAAGGTGGGGACGCCCCGGCTCTCGGACCCCGCCCCACCCGGGAAGTGTGAGCCGAGAGGGGTCGCGGGAGTGGGCGGTGCACGCCCGGCCCGCAAGGGCTGAGCCGATCACAGGCCAGAGGCTGCGCGCCGCCCGGCCTCGGTTTCCCCATCGTGACCCTGCAACGCGATGCCTTCGACCGTCCACGCCGGGATCGGAGCTGGGGTGCGCCGCAGTGGGTGGGGCCGTCACGAGGACGGCGAGCAGCCAGAGGCCAGGAGTGGGCCGGGCGCGCACCCCGCCAGGTCCTCCAGGCAGCGAGGCTGGGCCGGGGCCCCTGGCGCTCGGACACAGCCTTTTTAAAAGGCAATTTCCAGGTGAATCAGACCTTGTCTGGCTGAGCCAGCGGCACAAAGGCAGCTTTCAGGGGACCCTCGCGCCCAGGGGCAGGGCAGAGACAAACTGCGCCGGGAGCGATCACCAAATTTCCAGGGCACACAAGCCCGGTTGTGTCCTCCGCCTGCCCTGAGGGGCTTTGCCGGGCGGACGCGGGGGATCCGCCCCGGGGACCCGGAGCACCGAGGCCGAGCTGCCAAGGCGACTGCTGCATCCCTGCACCCCGCTCCCCCCAGAGCCCCCAACTCGGTGCCGGCGCCGCCGGGGCTCCGGGACCTGCCAAGGTCTCGCCACGCCGGAGCGCGAGAGCAGAGAGGGGCCCTCTCGCCGCTGCCCCTCGAATCGGAAAGACGCCCCGCTCAGGGCTCCCGCCTCCGGGGAGGACGCTGGGGGAGCTGTCACAAGCGTCCAAGGACCACAGGAGCGAGAGGCTCCAGGGGACTCCTCCCTCCGAGTGTGACTCGGGGACCCACTTGCAAGGGCCTGAGATGGCCATCGCGCTCACGTGGGAAGCCAGAGCAACGGGGACCCTGCGCCCCGGTTAACCCGGGCGCGCACAGACCCGCGGCGTGGAGCTCCGCGCGCTGACACCCTCTCCTCTAGCGCGGGGCGTGGGCAGCCGCAGCGCGGCGCTAGCCCCGCGTCCCTGGCCACGCGGGGCGCTTCCTACCCGAGGGCAGCGCGGGCAGCCCAGCCGGAGCGCCCTGCGGTCAGGGGGTCCCGCAAGCCGGGCATCCCGGCTGCCTGGGGCCCGAGGTCCCGTTCTGCACCCCAAAAGCGAAGCGCCCATCCCCAGAGCAAGTCTAACGGAGGACCGGGGTTTCTCAGACCCAAAAGCGACGCGCGCGGAGTGGGGACCCAGCGCCCCGGCTCCGGCCCCGCCGGGATGCTGGGAAAGGGAGGCACCGCCAGCACCCGAGCCCCGTGCGCTCTTCTGGGGCGTGGGGCGCAGAGCGGGCGCCGGTGGCCGTCGGAGCAGACGCGGGCGTGAGGGCGCCGGGCAGGTGGACGGCGGGAGGGCGCGGGGCGCGGCCGCACTTACTTCTCCGCTGGCGCCTTCCCCGGGAGGCGTGCTGGCCGCCGAGGTATTCCGCAAAGTTCAAAATGATGAAAAACCAGGGAAGCAGTCGCAAGCGCATAGTAACCCAGTGAGGTTTCCCTTCGCTGTCTCCGAGGGCTCTGACTGCTGACGACGCCGCGTCTCCGAGGCCGCGCGGGCCGGGGCGTCCGGGGAGCGAACCGGCGGGCTCGGCGTCTGCGCTGCGGACCGGACGGGGCGGGGGCGGGGACGGGGCCGGGGACGGGGCTGGGGCTGGGGCCGCGGTTCCTCGCACTGCGCTGGCCGCCGCGCCGCGGGGGCGGCTGTCACCCCGCAGGAGCAGAGGCGGCCTCGGGGAGCATCGCGGGCGGCCGCGGGGTCCCGGCGGGCGGCGGCCCGAGTCTCAGCGGCGGCCGCGGGGGCCCCGGGAGCGCAGGGGCGCGGGCACCGCGGGCAGCACGGCCATGGCCGAGGGGTGGCAGAGAGACCCCGAGCTGCAGCCGGCGAGGGCGAGCGCGAGCCGCTGCAGTGCGGGGCCGGGCTCCCGGGAGCACCCCATAGGGGAGGGGGGCGGGGAGGGGGATGGCTGCGGGGGCGGGGAAGGAAGCTGCCGGAGCCGCAACCCCAAGCGACCTCAATAACTTTCAATTTCAGAGGGAAAGAGGGAGCTGGAAAAGTACAGGCGCTGCGATTTGGCCGAGGGACGGCGAGAGGCGCCCAAGGGGTCCCGGGTTTGCGGCGCGGCATCTCGGGGCGCCGCAGGGAAAATGGGAGTCGGGTGTGGGGCGCAGGGCCAGCCCGCGGGCCCGAGAGCCCCTCGGAAAGGCGCTGTGGGCGGCTGAGGCGTGGGGTCCCCGGTCCCGGAGATGGAGCGCCCCACCCCCAAGTCCGGCTGGACTCGCAGCTTCAGGCTGGGCGAACCGCGCTTTCGGGGCCCTGCGTCCTGCGCCCCTGCTGCACCCGGGGGCCTGGTCCCGGGCTGCGGGCCCCTCGCCCCTTTGGCAAATCGCAGGAGGGTTTCTGGCCGCAGACTCCCACCCTGGTCCCTTAGCCTCGCTTCCGTCGCTTTTCTCCCTCTCCCGTTTCTTCAGGGAAAGTAGCTGCGCTGGGGCGCGGGGCGGGGGTCCGGAGGGAACTGGGGCGCGGCGGGGCCCCGGGGCCGCGCTTTACCTGCGCGGGGGCGAGGGCCCGAGGGAGGCGCCTGCGCCCTGCACGGTCCTCTCGGGAAGGCTTTGTGCCGCGGCTTTCCCCCAAAGCAGCCTCTGCCGAGCCGAGGCCCGGGGCGATGCCTGCTCCCCGCAGGCGACTCCCTCAGTAGTTCCCTCGCCCTCGCTCGGAGCCTTTCCGGGCCCCTGGACCTCCCAATATAATGTGCCTTAGACAATCTGTTATGCATTTTGGTTTCTCATCTGGAGAACTGCGAGTACTGTGTGCAGATTTCCTCCGTCCCAGGGGAGGAGAAGTTCCATGAGGGGGCCGGTGGTGGTGGAGAGAGCACGTTTCCCTGGCTCACGCTGGGGTCCCCGGACCAAAGGCTGCTCCCCTTATGAGTCAGAGTGGTTCCCTCCTTTCCTCCCCAGTAGCCCAGCCGATGAGCCTCAGTAGTAACTGGAGAAGTATGTAGCTGAAGATCACAAGCTCCCAGAGCGTTTTAAATATAAACCTGCCCTGTGTGTATGTGACAGTCCCTGAAGGAACACAGTCCTCTTCGCCTTGCTACGGGTTTATGCAGCGCCAAACCTGAGAGAGGCCACTTCGGAGACACCTTGCTAATTCTCAAACCCAGCTACTTTAGGGTCAGGAGATGGATGGCTCAAACTAACCTTGCCGAAATCAACTAAGTTTCAGGATGGCCTTCTGTTTGTGACAATGAGTCAGAAGAGAAACAGGGCATCCCCTTTCCCACCCCGTTTTGAGGTTTGCAAAGTGCCTGACTGTTATATGTCCCTGGAGTCCTTTGGGGGTGTATTTATTATTGATCAAGAAGATGAGATGACCTGAATGTGAAAAGAAGGGAATCTGAACTGTGCATTCTTTTCAAGGTGCTAAAAACTAGAATCTGAGAGACTGGCCTTGTGATGCTAATTCCTTAGGTAAATATCATTTACTATTTTGCATACTTGTGTTGCTGGAATTGTGAAAGGAGGCGTGATTTTCCTTATGCTTGATAGTTCAAGGAAGGCCACAAGTCTACCAATTAGAAAAGAAACAAAAGTTATCACCATCACCGTTACCTTTCCATTTTTCCTTTGCGTGTGAGGATTCCCATTTGTAACATTCCGCTTGCTGTGGGAGAACTGTCCTGTAAACACCGCACCGTGCACACAAATGCACAAACACACACACAGGCCCCCCGTCTGTTGTTGCACAGTGTCTAGCTGCGAGTGATGTGAGTTTATCACTTTGAACCAGACAAGCAGACAACCCCAGTAATGATTATCTTGAGAAGAGGCCACTCCATTTTCCTGTGCCTGTCTGCATCAGCTCACTGGCCCTGGTGCTTAGTACCGCAGGTCCTGAATATCTGCTCCATAAAATGTGGAGGCTTTCAGGCCATGGGAGGCTCCCTTTGAAAAGGACTCCAGAGACTTCCTTCTAATCTGGGTTACTTGACAAGCTGGATGGGATGAGACTGCAAAAGGGATGTAAAAAAGCAATTTGGTGAACAGCTTTGGGGAAATAAACATGAAAAGAGACACTTTTTACCGTGTGCTCTGCAGACTTACGTTAGTTTAGACGAGAACAAGAATGACAGTGTAAATAAATAAGCAACTCTGTGAGAGGCTACAGTTCTTGGGCCATCCCAGGAAAGCAGAGCTAGGTAGTGGGCAGGAAAAGCTTGTCAAGGAATAGGCAGTGTGCGGAGGAAACATAAGGGATACATTAAACCAACTTGTCGCTGTGCTTTAGAATAACTTTTTTCTGACCCGAGTTCCTGTACTATCAAAAGTGTGTTTACTTGCCTGGGTGAGTCTTAAGTTCCCTCAACTGTCCTAGAAGCTCACAGAACGCACGTTATGGCCTATTTGGTGCAACATAGAACCTACCTTTTTTTCTTCCAATAAAGAAACCAACACTCAAGCCTGTAGCTGGCAGTGGATTTCAGGGCTCAAATCTGAAGCAAGTTAAAAGCCATAGGCTCAGAGTGGAAGTGGACAGTTTCTTCTTGTTTTTCTAAAAAAAAAAAAAAAAAAAAGTCCCAGGGGATTTGGGTAAGCTGGCATTTAGGAGTATGGCTTGGATAAAGAGAAAGGGTTTTGTCCAGTCTGGATACTGTAACATCTAGTCTCTTCTCTATACCTCCCCCAACCAGGCAGTGACAACAGTAACAAGTTATTTTTATCTATTGCAGTAGTGGCGCTTTAAGGGAAGAAAATGATTGTCATATTGTTGAATCCATACAGCAAATATGTGGAAGGGGGCGGGCTCCAGCGCAGCAGCACAAGCCCCACGGTGTGGAATGGGCTATAACGAGTAGTGATGAGAGATGTTTGGCATGGCCAGAGCTGACATCAGTCATTCTAGCACAGAGCTAATATGCAGATTCTGTCGGAGGAAGCCAAGGGAGGTACTGCCGGCCGGGTCTGTGTGACTGATGTAGCTAAAGGCATCTCGGAAACACAGAGCAGACAGATCTGAAAAGCCATCGAGATGAGTGGATGAGAGACAGCTACTATTTTTAGAGAACAAAAGGACGTAGAATGATTGTAGCCATTTAAAAAGTGATTAAATGGTTATATAGCATTAAGAAAATTAAGAGCCATGATGGATTACTTTCTGTCGACAAGAAAGAGTGTTCTTCCTCCCAGACGAAGTTCTAGGACACTTATAAAATTGTGGCAAGCCCTGCTGGGTATGGCTATGTGTTAAACTTCTTTCTCTCACAAATCAGTTGATTGCTGGCCTCAGTTAAAAAGTGAATATCCAATAATACTCACTGCAAAGAATTTAATTCCTCAAAGTTGTGTTTGATTACAGTTGTGCTTTAATGTAAAGAGGCTGTGTTTTGCAGTAAAAAGGAACTAGAGGGATCTGGGGACCACAGTGAGCCCCCCTTTTCCTGTGTTTTTATTGCTTTCCAGGTTTCTCCGTCTGAAGAATGAGGAAATTCAACTAAGTGATGTCTGAAGTCCCTGTTAGCTCCAGAAATAACGGTACTATCTCCAAAAAAAGAAAGACAGACTTGTAATTGCGAACGCCAGTGCTATTTCTAGTTGTGTGACATCACAACTTTCACTTACAGAGTTGTGTTTAATTGAACAGGTCCAGATTTAGAAATATGTTTCTAAATGTGTTGATTTTCTGGAAATGCCTAACCCATTACAAGAATCCTGGATAACTTTGTCCCAAGAAGGTAAATCCAGGACTACTTTCATCTCTCTACATATCTGTAGACTTTGAGATGTCAAGGAAGAAGAAACTAGGCCCTGTATATGGGCGGACCCTGGAGAAAGCAGGGGACAGGACTCCAGCTTCTGGAGATACCACTGGGTTGGCTTTGTTGTCAGAATTACAGACAGGGGGCTTTCTTGAATGAGGGCTTTTCTTTTATTTCATGTAACTCCTTACTTTTTTAGAATGCTATGGCAGAAACTCACTTTTTATTTTTCCGAGTCATGCCTTTTTAAAAATAAGAATTGATCTCCGTGTCTCTTGTTCCAGAAAGCTCTTCAGAAGGTCAAGAGTGAAGCTGGAGTGGCAGTGGTCACAGCTTTAGGCTGAGGAATTGCTCTGAAAGACATCAAAGTCCTGCAGTGTAGAATTTTAGATGAGAAACTTTTGAATTTGCATTGCATGCATCATCTCAAAACACATTGTTTTGTAAATGAGAAAACTGAAGTTAGAAAAGAAAAGTCACTCAAACTCATGGAGAAAGTATTATGTTTATTTGAATAACCCAAGATGTATTTTCTCTGTCTCCCTTCTTTGTTTCTGCGGGACTGGGGATCGAACTCAGGACCTTGTGCTTTCAGGCAGGTGCGGCACCACTGAGCGACATCCCCAGCCCTTTCTCTGTCTCTGTGTCCCTCAGGATGTTGACTTGGAAGACTAGGTCCCTGGAGCACCCTTCCTCTGGTTTCCAGAGGGGGTTCCTGTAGAAACGAAGAGCATGGCCACAACGAGGGACGCTGTATCCTCGCTGCTGTCACTCTGGAAGGGGGTGCATCCCTGGACTGCTGCAGGTCCAACAAGCAGTGGTCTTTTCCAAAGCTATCATTTATCCATCACTCTCTGGGCCTGGCAGTAGAAATGGCATCCTGCTCCACCCACTGCATGGGCTCCTCAGCACCGTCTATTGCTGTCTTTTACCCTGTCCCCACCATTAAAAATAGTCCTTTATGAAAGCGTGCTTCAAAAGTTATTGTGGGTTCACGAGTGACACAGACATGTCAAAGCTGGGTCCTGATTTAAAGCTAGTGTTTTTCCAACCACATCAGCCTGCCTGTGGGTAAAACGGAGGGGAAGTGAGGAAGCTGGCACACGACAGAAGCCAGAGCGAGGACACTGGCTAAGCCAGACTGACAACTAGAATCGGAAGGACAAGGAACAAAACAGAGTTCAGATTCAAAGCTACACCAGGCAATCAGAAACGAGCAGATGCACAGGCAGGGAACAAGCAAGGCAGCCAGCAAAGAGCAGCGGAAAAAAATGAAAGCGGACAGTGATTTTCAGGAATGCCTTCATGGGCACCTTATTTCTTTCCCTGCAAATCCATAAGTACCTTATTGGAAAGGAATAAACGGTGGCAGTTCTGGTCAATTAGCCGTCCATGCACCCTACACATATCTGCTGATGGTGCCTTTTATGCGGAACGCCAGGCTAGACACTGAAGCAGAGTTTCACGCATCCCTTTAAGGCAAGAATGTTGAAAGGATGACTTTATGGCTTATATTGGTGCTCTGATGAAAAGCAATGTCATTGTAAATGATGAGAATAAGGGCCGGGGATTTTGCTCAGTGGTTCCACTGCCTGCCTCACAAGCACAAGGTCCTGAGTTCCATCCCCGGTACCAACAAAGAAAGAAAGAAAGAAAAGAAAATAACACATCTGAACATGCTTAACAAGAAGTTTTGGGAAGCATCTCTTCCAGACATTTATATTTAAAAACAAAACGGAACTAAAACCTGTTTCTACTATACACTTACCTCTCTGGCTTACATTTGTTATTACTGGTGCATTTGGGTAGCCACTTGGGCCAATGGACTACTTTTATTTCAACATTTACTGAACGTCTGGCAAGCCCCGTGCTAGGCCTTGGGAAGATAAGACTGTGAGAACTGGGACTCTGTTTTTAGGAGAACGACTTGCAAGTGCAAGGTAGGCCTGTCAGCCATCCACGCTTGGGCTTGCGTGTGGTAAGGGCCTTGCAGTTAGGGCTGTGTGTGGCTTTGAGGACAGGGAAAGGACGGTAGTTCGAGGTGGGCGGTGGGAAGGAGATAAGCTGTGTCTGGGATGCAAACATTAAAGGCACTGATGGCGAATCTTACTGTGGATAAGGAAGACTTCCTTTACTTTGACTGGCCCTGATTGGGAGGTGGAGGCTAAGCCCTGTTGTCTTGTTTTGTGGAGGTCAGTGGTTGCGGTTGGCTGCCTGCTTGCTAGGGAGGCAGCCGTATGCCAAGTGTTATCAGGCCTCCTCCTCCTCCTCCAGCAGTTCACTGTGTCTGTGTTGACTGAGTGGGAATGTTGTTAATGGCTGATACCTATGTGGGGGTTTGTGTAGGTTAATGATTTGACTGGTTTACCGCAGCTGCAATATGGGCAGAGTCCTCTCTGCAGAGAAGAATGACATTTCGTTTCTCCTATTTCCTAGCAGGGTTTGAGTCAAGTGAGAGTAGCCAACAAAGAAAGGAGAGTGGAGCTTTGTGAGTGTCTGAGTGCTTCTGTTCTCCTGTTCTCAGTGCCTTCCTCTGGGGCAAGTTCTCCCAGACTTAGCACAAGGCACAGCTGGGCCTCCCGCTGACTCTCCGGCCCTCCCCATGCTTGAAGCTCCCTACTGAGTCCTGGCCTGCTTACAAATAGTCTGAGTCCCTTCTCCCCTGCTTCTCTTCCTCCATATAAGCTTTTCTTTCTGGAAACGCTTTTTTTTTTTTTGTACTGGGGATCGAACTCGGGTCCTTGCCCTTGCGCAACAGGCGGCGAAACCACTGAGCTAAATCCCCGGCCCCTGGAAACGCGTTTTGATTTCACATGGTCCCAGTAGGTATGTCCCGGATGTGGGAAATTTCAAGCTATTAGGAGGAATAAAAGAAGTCATGTTGGCTGATGGTCCCAATATTTGGGTGCTAGCTGCTTGTCACTTTTTCCAGTTTTGGGTGTGGTATTCTGTATTTCTAAGTACGATAGCCTTGGTGAGAAGCATTTGGCAAGAAGAGAAAGAGGAAACAAAGCACTTTCTTCCCACAGAGTTTATATCAGTTATGTAACGCTCTGTGACAAACTACTCCTAAACTTAGAGGCTGAAAATGTCGACTGTGGGCTCTCGTAGTTTCATGGTTGAATGGGCCGCCGTTCTGGACTCTCCCGGGGCCCTTCCTAGGCCGCCGTCAGCCAGGTCAGCTGAGATGGTAAGGTGGCACGTCTTCCCGGGAGGCTTTTCGTCTTCACTGCACGGGCTCTCTGGGTTCTAGGAGCCTGGGAGAGGAAGCCTAAAGGACCCTGAAAAGTCCTCCACTCATTTCTACTACATTTTCTTGGTCAAAGAAAGATACAGGGGCAGCCTTGATTCCAGGGTTCACTCAGCAGAACCTGTCTCTTGATAGGAGGTGGTGCAAACAATTGTGGTCTATCTTTAAGCCGCAGCAGAGCTGATGTGTGGTATACAGCAGGGACCTCAGTGTAAAGTCAAACTTGCTAAGCCTTTTACCCATCAGAAAATTGACGTTGACTTGAAACAAAAGTAAAACAAGTTTACTGTATACCCTATCTGACTACCAGCAGAGGGTATTCGGTTTCTAGACTAGTTCTTTCTGCGGAATGAATTTCCATTCTAGACTTGAAGTCTCCAAATATCAAACTACAAAGTTTCAGGACACTTCTGGGACAGATTTTTGGCTTTAGGCTCATAGGTAAGAGCACTTATGGTTTGGAACTCGTGAAAAAAAACTTGAGGACGTTCTCATCCTGGGGAAATCACGTAAGTTTTCCTTATAGAGATTTAACTTTAGCATGTTATTTCCTTCCTTTTCTTCTTGTCTCAGGAGCTAGGATAGCATTATAGCATTCCTTAATGTTTGTGAATATAACATAGAAGGCTCCTCACTGACAGGAACCCCATCTAAATACCTCCTTGCCAGAAGACATTAATAGGGCTTATCATTGTAGCTTATAGGAACATACAAATTCCATAATTCCAACATTTAATGAAATAAGGTACAACCATTTTCCCCTACAAAATAAATTTAAAGGTTTAGGAAAGGAGGTAGGTAAGCCAATGAATAATTTACTTTCTTTGTCTTACTCGATTCTCCAACTTGAGAATGACATGTTTGGGCTGGGGATTTAGCTCAGTGGTTCAGCTGCCTGCCTCACAGCACAAGGTCCTGAGTTTGATCTCCGGTACCAAAAAAAAAAAAAAAAAAAAGAGTGACATGCTGGTTTTGAGAGACTTTATTATTAATTTTTATTACTTTGTTTTTAAGAATAAGCATTTTATTTGTTTGTGTGTTTGTTTTTGGTACCGGGGATCGAACTCAGGTCCTTGTGCCTGTGTAGCAGGTGGTGAAACCACTGAGCTAAATCCCTGGCCCATGAGTCAGCATTTTAAAAAGCAACATTGTAAGTCATATGTAATCTGGAATCTTCCATTAAAAATACATGTTTCTCTGGCTGAATATGGTTTGTACCCCTACATTCGTGTGTGAGAAAACTGGTTCTCAGTGAGGTAGTGTGGTGGGATGGGAGGCCCTTTAAGAGGGAATTGAGTTTTGAGGACCCCAAACTCCTGAAGGGGCTGATGTAGGTCCCACAGAGTGAGTTAGTTATCATGAGAGCTGCTGGGTTATAAGCAAGCCTGGAGCCTCCCCTGATCTGTCTCACGCCTGTGTTCTTTCTGCACTTGCCTGCTTCCTCTTCCTGCCTCTGTCATGCAGAATAAGCCCTCACAAGACAACAAAACATGTCAAGACTGCTTTTCTACTTCCCGAACCCTGAACTAAAACAAACCTTTTTCAACGATGAATCCCTGGTCTCATGTATTCTGTAATAGTAACAGAAAATAGACTAAGACTCTTGGTGCGATGGCCCTTAGTGCGGCTCCCCAAAATTCATATGTTGCAACTTAATCCCCAGTGTGATAGTGTTAAGAGGTGGGAGCCTTTTGGTAACTGATTAATGAGGGTTCTGTCTCCATAAATTGGATTAGTGCCTTATAGAAGAGGCTCTAGGAGTTCCCTTGCCTTTTCTGCTACGTGAAGATATGTCAAGAAGGTACATTTTGGAGCTGGGAATGGTGGCACATGCCTGTAATTCCAGCACTCAGGAGGCTGAGGGAGGAGGATTGCCATGAGTTCTAGGCCAGCATGGGCTAGTGAGTTTGAGGCCAGCTTGAACTACATAGTGAGAGCCTGTCTAAAACAACAACAACAACAACAATGACAAATAACAACAACAAAGAAAGAAGGTGCCATCTTTGAAGCAGAGAACAAACTTTCACCAGATACTGACTCTGCTGGCATTTTGACTACGGACTTCTCAGCCTGCACAACTGTGTATAATAAATTCACCTTGTTTATTAATTACCTAGTCTAAAGTTTTTTGTTATAGAGGCAGAAATAGACTGAGAGACATAGTATAACATTTAGAAATTCAGGTCTGGTCTAGTTTCTAACAAATAATGCCTTGAGAATTACTCTTCCAAATAATTGTTTCAATATATAGTTTGCTTTCCTTCTTTTTTCGGGTCTGAGTGCATGTATAATTACAGTTTTTCCTTATGGTGGTGCCTTGTCTCCTTCCTCGAAGTCCACCTTGCTGACCTCACTGCCTAAGGGATTCTGAATCCTTACCTGAAGCTTTGCCCAGTCCTTGACAGCTGGCTCCCACGAGACTACCCTAGGTAGACCTACTTGCTACCTGAACCAAAGTAGGAGAACATCTAAACCATTCTGAAGACCCTCACAGGTGTGCCTTTTCAGAAGAGTTCTTGGGCAGAGAATTTTGAATCTTCTTCCAAAACCTCTGAAGATACAAACAGGGCAGGGCATGTAAGCTCAGTGGTAGAGCACATGCCTAACAAGGCTCTGGGTTCAATCCCCAGCACAAGACAAACAGGAAGAGTTCAATCCCTGGTACCAAAAAATAAATACATAAATAAAATAATAGCCCATTCAAATAAATAAAT